AAAAAAAAAAAAAAAGTCATTTTAGCCCATTTGTGACTTTTCTATGCAAAGACCTACAGGGACCCAAGACTCCAAATTCATATTTCAGGAACTTTTTTTTATATAATTCCCTTCTCTCTGGAAGACTCCAGAAATTCTATCTATCTGTACCAATACTTCTTCATTATATGATTATTGTGATACTGTTGGGGTTCCCTACCCAGGGCTGCAGTTTGGAAATCACCTCTGGGTAGAAAACCCACTATATTAGGTAAGAACTCACTCCATTTTTCTCAGAGCTGTGCTTCTTGTTGTCCAGTGTCTGAGAATAGCTTCTACATTTTGACTAGTTTTTTAGATCTTTATTTTGAGAAAGTAATTCTGAATGTGTTATCTGCTCAGAACTGAAGGCTGCACTATGTTGTTGCTTCTGTTTCACTCTCTACTCTTTTTGTCTTGCTTGAATACATCCTTTAGACATTCTTCCAGGGCTGGAGCATAGCTCAGTGAGGCCCTTGGTTTAAACCCCAGCACTAAAAGTTTTGGTTCAGTTTTTAGTTTTTACCGAAACAAAAAACTAAAAACTAAACCAAAAATTTTCAGATATAGTCTGTGGTTGGTATACTTTCTGAGTTTGTAAATTCTGAAAAGTTTGTAGTTCTGAAACTTGAGTGATGACCTGGTTATTGAATTTGTAAGTTCAAAGTTGTTTTCCTCTGAACTTGGAATATGTTTTTGTTTGTTTGGTTTTGTTTATTGTTGTTGATGAAAAGTCTGCTTTCTTATGATCCTTGTTACTTTGTAGGAAGCCTGTTTGTATGTTCTTGGAACTTGCAGTTAAAGCTTTCACTTTATTTTTGGTTTTCTAAACTTCATGTGTCCATTGTGAATTAATTTGTAAAATATATCATGCTTTTCCATGGACCCTTTTAAATCTTGAACTGTGTCATTCCTAACATCTGAGAAAAGCTGTTCTATCATTTCTTGGACTATAGCCTGTCACCTGTGGTGCTGGATGTTGGAACTTGTCACTGTGCCTCATTTTAAACTTTTTGTTAGTTTTTTCTCAATTCTATCTTAGCTTCACATATATATTCAACTGTTATTTAATTTCAGTAGTGAGGTTTTTAATTTCTTTGATCAATATTTGATTCTTTTTTGAGGATATTACTCTTTTATCTTTTCCTACTTAATCTTATATATTTCCTTGGATGTAAATTCCTTTTTTTGTATGTATTTATTTTTATTAGTACATGTTTGCCACACATAATGATCACATTTCTCATAGGGAATTTGTACCTGTGATATATCTTGTTTGTTGGTTTTTTGTTTGTTTTTTTTTTCTTTCCCGGTACTGGGGATCAACTCAGGACCTTGGGCTTTTGAGGCAGGAAGCAAAACCACTGAGCTAAATCCCTGGCCCCAAGTTGGTTTGTTTTTTGACACAGGGTCTTACTGTGTAGCCCAAGCTGGCCTCAAACTCATGGAGTCCTCCTGCCAGAGCTTCCCCAGTGCTGGGATTATAGGTGTGCAGCATCATGCTGGGCTCACCTGTGATATATCTTAATTCTTTTTTTCCCATTCTTGTTCCCTCCTTCAGCCCTTCTTCACCTCCCCATTTACAAAAGCTTTGTTTCCATTTTTTCCTCTTACATTCTCTTTCTTTTTGATACCTGGGATTGAATTTAGGACCTTGCGCTTTCGGCTTTCAAGGCAGGTGCAGTGCCACTGAGCACTCCATGGCCCGCCTTCCATTCTCTTTTAAAATCTCTTTTCCCTTCTTTTATTCCCCTCTTCTTCCTGAATTCTTTTTTCTTTTGGTGCAGTTTGGAAAAACTTAAAATGATTTTGTCTTTTCTTCAGTGTTTTGTTTCTCTTTGTTATGTTTTCAACTTTGCATGTATGATTTTTTTCTTAGGCTGTTTATGAGGGTTTTTATTTTTTTCCTTTTACCTGCTTAAAGAGCAGGGTTCTGGACCTGTTATCTACCCCCTTAGGCTGGCTATTCAATTTTAGTTTTGATTTTTAAAACCTTTTTGTTGATATAGAATTCATATAGCAGAAAATTCATCATTTTAATTTGTGTAATATAGTGGCTTTTAAAGTATGTTCATTATGTTGTACAACCATCATCATCTAAATCCAGAACATTTTCAGCTGAGTGAAACCCCATACCTAACAGAAGTCCCAGTTTCCTTCTTGCCCCCATCATCTGGCAACCACTAATCTACTTTCTGTCTTTATAAATTTGCTTCTTGTAGACATTTTATATAAGAATAATAAAACCTTGTTTTTCAAATCTGGCCTTTAAAATTTAGCAAAATGCATTTTAGGTTCATCTATTTTCTAGTATATGTAACTATTTTATTCCTTTTCATGACTGAATAATCTGTTCTATGGGCAATATCACATTTTGTTTCTTTTAGTTGATGAACATTTGGGCTGTTTATTTTTGGAGGGTTAAGCATCTGTGAATAATGCTATGAAAATTTACGTTCAAAGTTTTGTGAAGACTGGGGATTTAGCTCAGTGGTTTTGCCGCCTGCTGCACAAGCACAAGGACCTGAGTTCAATCCCTGGTACCAAAAAAAAAAAGTTTTGAGTGTGGTTATGTGCCTTTAATTCTTTGGGCATATACCCTGGATTGGAGGAGTTCCTGGGTCATATAGTAATTTTATGTTTTAACTGTTTATGATTGAATTAATACATTAGATTTGAAAAAAAAGTTTTGCCTAAAAAGAAATCAACAAAAAAAAGTAGAAAAAACAAAATTGAAAACACCTACTTAGTTATGATGGACAAAGTAGTACTCTTTTTTTTTTTGGTACCGGGGATTGAACTTGGGTCCTTGTGCTTGCGCAGCAGGCGGCGAAACCACTGAGGTAAACCCCCAGTCTTCACAAAATTTTGAACTAAATCCCTGGCCCCAAAGTAGTACTCTTAATTAACAGGTTGACTCTCTAGACTTTCTTTACTTGTAAATATACATGGATCTAACCAGATGACTTCTGTGACCCTTTTAGTGTATTTATTTTGATCTCAAGACTGGAATGCTTTGTAGGATTTCGTATTAAATACATGAATTTGAGATTTCATTGCTGTGAGACAGTATAGATGGGGAGTCACTGTAATATATTATTAGCAGGAAAGTGAACTTGAAATTTCATTTTGAATTATTTTTAATGATAAACAGTTAACATGTTGATTGTTTGAGGTTTATGAGGGAGAATTTGCTCAGTGAAAGATTGAAATCATCATTGCTATTTCTTTCCATACTTAGTGATTCTTCACTACTTGGTGTGATTTTATGATGCTGTTCACTTTTTGGGTAATAGCTAACTTACAATTATTTTAATGCCAGGAGTTTGCGGTCCCCGACTATCGCTCTTCTCATCTTGAAGTTAGTCAGGCATCACAGCTCTTACAGCAACAGCAGCAACTTCGAAGACGACCTTCCCTGCTTTCAGAATTTCACCCAGGTTCTGACAGGTAATAGCTTGTGTTTTCAGCTGTTCTATATTAGTCGATCTTTTGAAATAGTTATCATAACAGTCAATAAGCTCTTAAAACTTGTTTGTACAGTTTAGCATTAATATTATGTAGTAGAGGGCTGGGGATTTAGCTCAGTGGTTTTGCCACCTGCCTTGCAAACTCAAGGTCCTGAGCTCGATCCTTGGTACCAAAAAAAAAACAAAACAATTATGTAGTGAAAAATGAATAGTAGGTTTTAATCCTGGTCAGCTGTGGGCCTTGATCACTTTATATAAATGACTATTCTTTCTCAACTTGCTACTGTGTATTAGAACAACCTGAGATAACCAAGTTTCTAGTTGTATCTCTCTGGTTGTGCCCAGGTGTTAATGGCTAGAGTTTCCCAGGTGATTCTCATTTGCAGTCAAGGTGGCAAAATAACTGATTTACACTGTTCAAGCTTTAGTTTTTTCCTCCTTAACAATGGAGCATTGTTTCAGAGTACAGTAAATATTCTATCAGGTAATGTAGGCCCTGTATATAGTAGGTATACTTTTTCTCCAGTGACCTTACCATGTATGGTTTATTTCTATTCTTTTTTCACTCTTAAAGTTTTTTAAAAAAGTAAATTTTATTGTGTATACTTAAGGTATAGAACATGATGTTGTAGGATACATATAGATAGTAAAATGGTTAGTATATTGAAACAAATTAACACCCATCAACTCCCATTATTATTTTTATTACTCGTAGTCCTAGTATTACACATTACTTTGACTTAGTTCGTTCTAAGTACATTAAAATGTTTTCTTGGGCTGAGGATTTAGCTCAGTGGTTCTCCCACCTGTCATGCAAGCGTAAGGACCTGAGTTTGATTCTCCGGTACAAAAAAAAAAATGTTTTCTTACCTCTTCTGCCCTTGATAACTATTGTTTCATTCTCTACCATTGTTCATTTTAAAATTAATATTTTTCTATCTGCGTTTGGTGTATTTTACTTAATATAATGTCTGCTGGGCTCATCCATGTTGACATAAATGACCAGATCCCATTTTTTTTTTTTTAGAGCTGAATAATATGTCTCTGTGTATGCATGTGCATATGTGTACACATACCAATTTCTTTCAGGCACTCAGATTATTTTCCTGTCTTGACTGTTGTGAATAATGTTGCCCTGATGTAGGAGTGCAGATCCCTGATTTCTTTTGGAATATGCCTAGAAGAGGGATTACTGGGTCATATGGTAGTTCTATTTTTAATTTCTTTAGAAACCTCCATATTCTTTTCTTTAATGTCTATCAATCTGCATTCCCGTCACAGTATGCAAGAGCTCCCTTTTCTCTACACCCTTGCCTATAAGTATTTGTTGCCTTTTGGCATTTTAATAATTGCCGTCCTAATGGGTATGAGGTGCTATCTCATGATGGTTTTGATGTGCATTTCCCTAATAATTAGTGATGTGTTGATCACATTTCATATCCCTGTTGGCAGTTTTTATGTCTTCTATGTAGTGTCAACCCAGTTTTTTTTGGTCCCTTATTAATTGGGTTATTTTTCTGTTCTTTTTGTAAGTTGTAGATATTGGCCTCTTACCAGATGTATAATTGCAGATGTATTTTCCATTCTGTATCCTGCTGTTTGACTTTGTTTCCTTTATTCTGCAGAAGCTTTAAGTTTGATTTAGTCCCATTTTCTTAGTTTTGCTTTTGTGGCGTGAACTTTTGTTGTGATAGCGACAAAATTATTGCCAAGGCTAGTAAACAGTACCTTTTCTCATGTGTTCTCTTGTAGGAACCTTATAGCTTTTGGTCTTACATGAAGCCTTTTATCCATTTTGAATTTATTTTTGTGTTTAGTGTCTAGTGATAAGGGTCTAATTTCATTCTTTTGAGTGTGGAAATCCAGTTTTTCCAGCACCCTTTGTTAGAGAGACTATTGTTTCTCCATTGTATTCTTTTGGTTGTTGGTCAAATTAGTTGATTATTTATGTTTGCATTTATTTCTGGGCTGATTGTATTTTCTTCCGTTGATATAATTGTCTGTTTTTAGGCTAGTACCATAAAATTTTGATTACTGTAACTTTCTTTGTATTATAGTTTTTAGTGAGGAAGTATGATGCCTCCAACTTTGTTTTTCTTTCTCAGAATTGTGGCTACATGGGGTCTTTTGGAAAGGTCACTATGAATTTTAGATTTTTTTCCTTTTTGTGAAGAATGCCATTGAGATTTTGGTAGGGATTGCCTTGAATCTCTATATTGTTTTGGGTAATACAGACATTTTAATTCTTATTATCCATGAACATGGAGTATCTTTCCGTTTAGTTGTATCTTTAATTTTTTTCATCAGTATTTTTTAGGTTTCAATGTATAGATCTTTTACCTGCTTGGTTAAAGTTAGCCCTAAGTCTTGTCTTGTCTTTTCTTTTTTTGAATGCTGAGCTAAATGGGATTGTTTCCTTGATTTTTGTTTTAGTTAGGTTATTATTGTATATAAAAATGGTACTTAATCTTTTGGTGGTACTGGGCATTAATCCTAGGACCTTGAGCATGTTAGGCAAGTACTGTACCAATGAGCTACGTCTGCAGCCATTTTTGAGACAGAGTCTTAACAAAGTTACCCAGCCTGGTATTGAACTTGTGATCCTCCTGCCTCAGCTTCATGAGTAGCTGGGTTTACAGGTCTGCATCACCGTGTCTGGGTATTGATTTTTTTTCCCAGTGGCCGGGATTAAACCCAGGGCCAGGCAAGCACTCCACCATTCACTGGATTATACCCACTAGCTCCTTCTACTAATTTTTATGTTCTACAACTTTATTGAATTCATGTATTAGTTCTAGTAGGGCTTTTTAGTAGGGTCTTGGGGATGTTTACATATAGGATTATGAAAGGTTATTTCTTTTCTGATTTAGATATCTTTTATTTTTTCTTGTCTAAGTGCCATATTTTTTTGAGACGGGGCCTCATATGTAGCTCAGGCTGGCCTTGTTGCAGTCCTCCTGCCTCAGCTTCCTTGAGAGCTTGTTTGAAAGTTCTAGCAGGGGAGGCAGGCAACTTATATTCTTGACCGAGGAAATGGTCCTCAAGCGTACAGTTTCAGGAGGGACTCACATAGAGTGTTAAGGGAGGAAGGGGACACCAGCCTAGCCAGCCAGATCAGCCATATCAACTCTGGAAATCAAAGGCGTGACAGTTGTCGCAGCCAGATTGCCCTCACATCCTTGCCTCAGCTTCCTGAATGCTGAGATTACAGGTGTACCCCACTACCTCCCATGATCGCTCTTGGTAGTACTTCTAGTACTATTCTAGGAATGACATTCCCTTGCCCTGGATCTTAGTGGAAGAGCTATCATTTTCCCCTTTTGATTATCATGTTACCTGTGAGATTTTCGTAAATGACCTTAATTATGTTGAGGAGCTTTCCTTCTATGTTATTGAAGTTTTTTGTTTGTGCAATCCTGGGATCAAACTCAGGACCTTGCACATGCTAGGCAAGCAATCTACTACTGCACTACATCCTTAGCCCAAGAGATTTTTGGTTTGGTTTGCTTGGTTATTAAAGAAAGGATGTTAGACTTTGTTAAATGCTTTTTCCACATTAACTGAGATTATCATCTGTCTTAATGTGATATATCATATTGATGGATTTGTGTTTATTAAACCAACCTTGCAAGCTAGGGAATAAACCTCATTTGCTTATGATGTGTTGTCTTTTTGATATGTTGCTGGATTCATTTTGCTAATCTTTTGTTTTCTTTTTTTTGGTACCAGGGATCAAACTCAACCTTGCGCTTGCGAGGCAGGCACAGTGCCACTGAGCTAAATCCCCAGCCCTTGTTTTCGCTTTTTGAGACAGAGTCTTACTATGTAGTCCAAGCTGCCTCAAACTCACTCTGTAGCCCAGGCTGGCTTTGAACTTGGCAGTGATCCTCCTGCCTCAGCCTCCTGAGTGCTGGGACTGCAGGCATGAGCCAATGGGCCCAGCGCATTTTTAAAAAAAATTCCAACCTGCCAGTCTGTGTCTTTTGATTTGGGAATTGAGACCATTGGGATTGACAGTTATTATTGTAAGGTGTTTATTTATTTATTTTTTGGTACTTGGAATCAAACTCAGGACCTTGAACTTGCCAGGCAGGTGCAGTGCCACTGAGCTACATCCTTGGCCCTGTAAGGTGTTTATTGAATCCTATAATTTTTTTTTTTTTTTGCATTCCAGGGATCAAATTCAGGACCTTGCACTTGCAAGGCAGGCATGGTGCCACTGAGCTAAATCTCCAGCCTCATCATTTTGTTATTTTTGCATTGCTGATTCCTTTAGTTTTTTCCTTGTAACTGCTCTCCCTGTTAGATGTATATAATACTTTCCTTTAGGCTCTTTGGTGCTGGTGGCTTCCTTATCTGTAAGATTCCCTTAAGGTTTTTTTTTTGAGATGTGGTGTTGCTATGTAGTCCACACTGGCCTTGAACTCACTGTGTAGCCCAGGCTGGCCTTGAACGCTCCAGATCCTCTTGCCTCAGCCTCCTGAGTACTGGAATTACAGGCATGTACTACCATGCTCAGCCCTCTTATTTTCTACAACTCTGGTTTAGTGGTCATGTATTTCTTTAGAATTTCTTTGTTCTGGAAAGTCTTTGCTTCTCTGTCATTTTTTTTTTTTTTTTTGGTACTGGGAATCTAACTCAGGTCCTTGCGCTTGCACAGCAGGTGGCGAATCCACTTGAGCTAAATCCCCAGCCTATCTGTCAGTTTTGAAGGTTAATTTTTTCAGGATATAAAAGTTTAGATTGACAGTTGTTTTCTTTCAGGGCTTGAAAAATTTGGTCCTGGGCTCAGTTCGCCTTTAATGTTTGTGTTGAGATCCACAGTTACTCCAGTGGCTTGCCTTGTAGGTTACTTGGCTATTTTTCTCTAACAGCTTTTAGTATTCTTTTCTTTTGTTGAATTTCTAGGATTTTGATTATGATGGGTCACGGAGAAGTTCTCTGTGATTATTTCGGATTCTATGTGCCTCTTGTACTTAAATATTGAATTCTTTTTCTAGATTTGGAAAAAATTCTTCTACAATTTCAGTGAATAAATTTTTTATACCTTTTGAATTGTCTTCTAATTTTTCATTTATTCCTATAATTCTGAGATTGACTTTTTGAGTCATCTAGCAGCTGTTGAATCCAGCTTGTCTTGTCATTTTTAGGATATTATTGAGTTTATGATTTAGTACATCTGTCTTGTCTGCTATTTCTGATACTGTCCTCACTTTGGTCAATTCTGTTACCCACTCTTTCCACTGAATTTTTTATATTCTCTAGCTCTGCTTGTTTTCTTCCATACTTTCTAATTCTTTTCTGAAGTGGTTATTCATGGGTTGTCTTGCCTAACTCAGGTAATTTATTGTTTCTTCTTTAAGCTCATTGAATATGTTATCCATGAAATTTTATCTGTTTAATTAAATCCTCTTGAGCTTATTAAACATCTTATGCATTTGTTTGTTTCTTTTTGTCTCTTCAAACATTTTGACCATTTTGTGTTTGAGTTTTTTGCCCCTATATCTTCCTTTAATTAATTCAGTGTCCAACTTTTGGAGAGCTAAGGGATCTATAATAATAATGCAGACATAGTACAAATCAAATATTGATATGCAGTAAATATTTACTAAAAGCAACAACTATACCACCATTAACAGTGGAAAAGAATTCAGTAATAGGGCCCGGGGATTTAGCTCGGTGATGCCATGCCTGCCTCACAAGCGCAAGGTCCTGAGTTCGATCTCTGGTACCAAAAAAACCCCAACCAAACAAAAAACAAACAAACAAAAAAGAATTCAGCAATGGCGTAGAGTCAACCAAATATCTAAAAATCAGTAATGCTTAATAATAATAGTAAAAATGGGGACAGAGGGAAGGGGAAAATTAAAGAAGTAATATTTGAAAAAGAAGTGAGAAGGAAAGGTGAGATAAAAATCCAATTAAGTAATAAAAGAATGTTAACAGAATTAGGTAAAAGCAGAAAAAGATACAAATAAGAAAAAAGAATGAAAACAAAGAACAAAAGAGAAAAAAAATAAAAAGAAAAATAAAACAACAAAACCAAAACCAAACAAATAAGCAAACAAAGAAAAAGGGAAATGAGTCCCAAAAATTCCTTCACAAGTTTGGGTGAATGGTTTATTTCCAGGGCCTGTGGAATTGAAATGCACTGGATATACTGAATCACAACTAGGGTCTATTTTGTTTCCCTGTTCTTTTTGCCTTGTGAGTGCTTAGTCCTGCCCCACCTTTCCTGATGGGCTTTGTTAATCAGTGATATGTTGTCTGCCTCCAGGCTATATTCACTCCAGCAGCTCCTTGTGTTTGTGCCTTTCCCCACATCTCAGTCTCTGCAATGTTCAATGGGCTTTATGGCCTGTGAGCTTGTGAGGTGCTTCTCTTCCCCTTTCCCTACACCTCAGGATTTGGCAGCTGTTCAGGCCAAGGCCATTGCTGATTACACTGGCAGATGGGAAAAGCAAACAGACCACTGAGCTCTGGGTTGGAAGTAGGCTGTGATAGGGCCACACAGTCCACTGGACTTAAAGTCTGTACTTTCAGACCCAGCGCCCCTCAGGAAACCACATAACAGGCCTGGATTCTCACCATGGAGGGTAGGATTACTTCCTTCACAACCTGAGTATACACTACAGCTTAAACTTTTCAGGGGATCTGCCACCATCCCTCCCCTTCTCTGTGACTTGTTTCTTGTGGCCATCTCCCACCTAGTCACTGGTAGGATGATCCTAGTGACCCTGAAGTAAAGTTATTCAGTGACTTGATTGCGAGGGTAGGCCCCTCTTAAACAATAAACTTCTTCCCAAAATGGCTCCTGATTACATCCACTCTCAAATATGGCATGGCAGTCATTGCAGCGGATTTCTTCTCTAACTACAGCCTCGTGTTTATCTTTTCCATGTTGGAATAGCAGGGAGCTTGTTTATTTCTGTTGTTGTTTTTTTTTTTTTTTTTTTTTTTGTACCGGGGATCGAACTTGGGTCCTTGTGCTTGCACAGCAGGCAGCGAAACCACTGAGCTAAATCCCCGGCCCTATTTCTGCTTTTTAATTATTTTTTGAAAAATGGTAGCTTTTCTGGTCAGTATTATCCTGAATTCAAATTGTATGGCATGGATTTAAAAGTGTTCTATTGATAATTCTTTAGTGACTCCTTTTTTTGTTTTTGTATTTTGTTTTTTGAGACAGGGTCTCACTACATAGTTCAGGCTGGACTTGAACTCACTATGTAGCCCAGACTAGCCTCCAGTTTACAGGAATTCTCCTGCCTCAGCCTGCCAAGTTCTGGAGTTACAGGCAGGTGTCTCCTCACCTGGCATAGTAACTTTATTTTTTTGCCAATCAAAGTCTTTCGTTAAGCCTTTCATTTCTAGATTTTTAAAAAAATCATCTTGTCCTGACTCCCTAGGAAACTTTTAAAATTTGAATTAGAAATTTAATACTTAAACTTTAGTTCTCTCTCTCTCTATTTCTTTTTTCTTTTTTTGGTACCAGGGACTGACCTCAGGACCTTGTGCTTTCGAGGCAGGTGGTGGAACCACTGAGCTAAATCACCACCCCTAGTAAGGTATATGTTATTCTGGGTAAGAAGAAGAAGAGGATAGGAATTCATCCTTCATTTATTTCAAAGTCTGATTAGGGACCTTAGGGTGTTATATTATCACTTATAAATTTTCAACTACATGTGTATGTATATATGTATATGTGTATGTATGTATGCATTTATTTATTGATTGATTGATTATATTAGGCCTCAAGAAAGGAGATCTGGATATGAACAGTTTCATCCAGGTCCATCCCCAGTGGATCATGATTCACTGGAATCCAAGCGACCACGTCTGGAGCAGGTTACTGATTCCCATTTTCAACGTGTCAGTGCTGCGGTTTTACCTCTAGTGCACACACTGCCAGAAGGGTTGAGGTCTTCTGCAGATGCTAAGAAGGTAAATATTTGTTCTTTTGCTCTGTGGAACTGTAGGTCTGTAGCATTTATTTAGCCATGCTCAGGCACAGTGCCTAAAAGAAAGCCCAATTACGCCACTCTCTAAAGGTTAGTGCTATGCTCCAGACTTTGAAGTCATACTTTAACGTTTTGGTAAAATAATCTAATTCCCAAGCATTTTGTACTGGCTTCTTGTGTTATAAATTGTGATCAGAGATAGTCAACACTACTGGTCTTGTCAAATTTAAATTACATTTTAAATAAGCCCCTTAATTTAGTGGCAATTTACTAACTTGCTATAGAGGACAAAACACATTTTAGGTAAGGTTTAACTATAATTTTTATGTAGAAAAAATTAGTTCCTAATTTGTAAAGTACTACATACTTACAGAAAACTGAGAAATTACAGGAGAAAAAAGTTACTTATAATTTTGGATTTTGTAGGTAATGACCCCTTTGTTTCATTAATTTTTTATTTTTTGGTATCGGGGATTGAACTCAGGACCTTGTGCTTGCGAGGCAGGTGGTGGAACCACTGAGCTAAATCCCCGACCCTGTTTCATTAATATTTAAATAAAAATTTTATACGTTTCTGTGTTCGGTGTGACTTTTGATATATGGATACATTGTGGAATGATTAAGTCTAAGTAACGTACTCATCACCTCATGTATTTTTCATTTTTTTGTGGTGAGAACATTTAAATTCTTAGCAATTGTTGAGTATATGA